TTCTGCCGAATTTCTAGCAGAAAGTCAATATTATTTCTGTGAAGTTTCTCACAGAAAGTCGATTTCATTTCTGCTGTTATGTGTCATCATCCGCTCTTAAGTGACATATACTCATGTATGCATCTGAAACAGTGATGAAGACTAATTATCAAAACCTTTATGTTTTTCGCTTTGAAATAATTTTATATTAAAAAACTTTTATATCGAATGAGTCACGAACATTAGTCTTTGTCATTAGTGAAGAGCTTCTAATTTTTAGTAGGCTCAAACTTTTTTGCAAAAAATCGACTTTCTGCTAACTTCTTTTAGCTTACCCTCCTCCCGCTCCCAAAAACAATTGGGAACCTCGGTTAAGCTATCCGATAGAATGCAACCAAGTGAACTCGATCAATACACAGAAAACTGCAATGTACATTAATAGAGAAATCAACACTACTTTTATGATAATATTTTTTGTCTATGAACTACTTCACAAGCTTGAAATATGAAAATAGTTCGATCTTTTCTTTCATCGATTTTTATTTCATTAAAGAGCAGAAATTTTATATGCATTACAAGGTGAATACATCGGTAGTTTTCCTAATACTCCTTCATAAAACTGAGAAAATAACAATAGAATAATTCCTCTTCTATTTATAACAATAATAGGTCCAACTGATGCGTCTCGAAAATAATGATATCGAATATTATTAGGTCTATTCATGTTTTCCGTTTTAATAGCTATAGATGGTGTACCAATAATAGTCATCTAAAAAAGAAACAACAACAATTAATAAACAATGTCAATCAAAGTAAATAAATAGATTTCACTCTATGTTTATTCAAACATTATTTTTCTTCAATAAAACTGCAGTAGGCGACACTAATTCAAATAAGTGAATACATTTATCTTAGTTGATTAACATCTCTTTTCCTTGCATTGAGTAATAATTACTATCAGCAGTATAACTTTACATATGTAAGCAAAACTTTTGTGAATATATCTATGACCACTTATATCTGGTATTGCGATATGCACTTGTCTACTATACAAAATAGAACTCTCTGTTTTCCTGTGTCATATCAATTTTTCTGGAAAATACATATGATAGTCGAAATATCATTTATTATATGATTTCTAAATTTCATTGTATCGATTGTTTCCTCTTTATTTTCGTTGTCAGAAGCATTTGTTTCAACGCCAACTAAGATCCATATAGCTCTTCATACGAGTAGGTATCAAGTGTTATATTGTTTGAGAAGACTGTTTTGAAAATGTAGTCACAAATCAAGGAATAACCAATAAAGCTGCTGTCTACCAAAAAAATCCAAAAAATTAGGTTCTAATAATTGATGATCTGAATAGAAGATTACAGTTATCAAAAATTCAATTCAAAATGCATATTTACAAAGCAATCAATTTACAATTATAGCAATGAAAGTATGATACAGATGAGCTGCGCCTTCAAATATTTATCTCTGGTAGTTTATATTCCAAAAATTCACATCCAAATTTCTTTTATTTTGTAGACAAGATATTTAATTAGCTGCATAGCTAATATGTAATGCCTGAGACAAGTACATGGTTGACTGGCTAACAGTAGACACTGTTAGTGCTTTAAAGATAATTGAGAAACATATATAGGATATTCTGAACCACTAGATGGCATATGAAACAGTATGTGAGAATGATATATCGAACATCATGACACTTGTAATTCGCGCTTCCAAAGGAACGCCATAGCAGGCATCAGATGCCTCATTATTCTATAGTAAAGTTTTGTTTATTGTATCGAATAAGCGTTAATCAATGTAAGTATTACTATTGACAAATTTTCTTATTTTCATTTTAATACGACTACTAGTTCGAGATCCATTAATTCAGTAGATATGGCGAGTCGATAGTGACGTTTTCATATAATTCTCAACATAGCCATTGATGAATGATGTCCAAGATCACTTGCTCATACAACTGTTTAACCTCAATAAATTATTATCTATTGAATGCGAATTTATCACTAGTAGAATATCATATTTATAGCACTCGTGTACAAGAGAACTTTCTTCATAGCTTGTATATTTTCACTTAATTACTGTGTTGTTCTCAACAGATCAGGCTTTTAATATGCATAAAAGAAGTTTCTTAGATAACTGTTAACTAAAAATGCTATTATACATTTGAATTTTTAGTGACTGATGCAACTCATCATACGAGTGGTGCTTTATTGTCACTTTACCAGATAAAGTTGAAATAGGTCGATTTTTTTGTCTAGATATGAAAAATATTGCTTTCTAACTTTTTTTTCAAACGGGAAAATCAAGATAAAGTTCTATTCCTAGCCAATTATTCTCTATTGCTTATGCTTATAAAAATTTATTCTATGCATCATGCACGTCACGAGAATAAAAGGTTTGACATAACTACTAGACTTTGTCGTCTTTCTTTCTGTTTTTCGTTTTCAACTATTACGCTTTTGTATCAAAAAGACGAATGAATCATCATATCTATATATCAGACACTACTTTGAATCAGAGTAAAGAATCTTGTTGTATTTGTGTTTGACAGAGAAGTATAATACGAAAGAATAAAAAAGTGTGCCAATGGCAATGTGGACACTAAACTCGTTTGTGTTGTTTTTTTTTTCGTCGTGTAGTTACAGGTGAAAGAAGTGCACCTATTGACTAAAAGAGACATTATAAATTTAAAGCTACACATAAAAAGCAACAAAACCCTGATTAATCGTTTTAGAGGGCTTTTTTTTTCTTGTGACTTTTTTGCTTCTATAATTGTTCTCACTGCAGTATTCTGCTTTTTTCTTAGTCATATCATTATTACGAGCACACGAACAGTAATCGATATGTCTTTAAAAGAAGAACAACCACAAGAACACAATATACAAGCAGGTCTGGCTATGTTTAATAAGTATATGGTACCTAATAATAATTTGGATGGCAAAGAGAAAGCCGGTGATGAAGCATCAATTAGAAAAGAATCGACTTTTTCCAACAATACATTATCCAGTAGAAACTCTGATCCGACTTCGACTTCTTCAACGCCATCGAATGTTAAACCAGTTGGGTCTAACAGGTTTGATGTGTTTTAGTACTTGTCTATATTCAATTTTTATGTTATTCTCAATTAGATTCTTCATGCCAACCAAGAAATGATTTCTTTACCTATGTTAACTTCGTCATATTGCCAAATATAAGTATATTTCTTACACACTTACATGATGTCTTGCAAAGAGACAGAGAGTTTTGCAATTTTTATTTATTTGATTAACTTTTAACTAATAAACGGCAAAAGAAAACAACCTAGACTCAAAAAACAAACAGTCCACTTTAGTATAAACACTCTCTTCGAATTCTAATAACTGATAAGCAAAAAACTAATGATACTACTATCTTCGAGATACTAACAAAAACAAAAATTAAAAAAAAATTTCGAAGATTATATCTGAAGTGTTGAACTTTTCATAAAATATCAACAAATATTTTTTTTCATAATAACAATCACTAATTGATTCATCGATGCAATATCAAACCGAAACATGCAACATCAACGAAAAAGTACACTAAAGTTCTAGACATTGTTTTTTCATATTAAACTTTTTCTCAAAATGTTTATTAAATAACGAAGAAAACGATAATTGAAAGTAGATATTTACTTTCATTTGAACCTATCATAATTCTGATAATTGTTACAATCTTTTTGTTTTTTTTTGGACGGATAGCTGATTCTCATATAATCTGCTTTATAATTTCTTCGAAAAATGTTAATAAAAAGAAATAGCAAGCTTTTTCTAAGAGAAATCTGAAATAGATCTAAACCTTAAATAAAATCTTACATTAACTATGACATTTGCTTTTCTTTACATCCAGGTTTTTCGTCTATTTTTACACCCTTTTTGATATGTCATTTTGTACGACCGAATTTTTTACACATGTCAAACTTGAAAGTTGCATTCAAACAATGAGGAATTAAAATAAATTTTTTCTTGATTTCTGTATCGCGACGTTGGAATGCTGAGCATTACAGAAGGTGCCATGATCCATACTCGTCTGCAATTTAAACTGGTATGGTAGTTTCAAACTTACAGAGGAAACGTTGGATAATTGAAGATAACTATGACAAATTCTCAGAAAATGTAAAATATGATATGAATCACTCTTTGGTAAATTTGTAAGTATTATTGAAAAATTCATGCGACCAAAAGATAAATAACATTTATCTCTATTAATTACTCGTTTCAACAGAAATTTTTACACATAAAATACATGAAGTTAGTATTGTGTTCGAGAAAAATATTTTTAAATAAATTTTCTTTTTATTTTGTTTATTTACTATTTAAAATAAGCATAGAGGCGTATGCATCATGTTGAAACACAACAACAGAAAAAAAAACTATACATACGGATCATTCATAACATCATCTTCAGAAGAATATAGATTATAAACTTTATTCGTTTTCTTTTATATGTTTGAACAACTTATTTCGACTTTTCTCGTAACACTGAATAATCAAAAAATTAACTAATGAATAACTCTCGTATGAATAACACTAGCATCACTGAAAAACTATTGTTATTCGATGATTCTACACGTTTTGTTTCTAAAAAAATTAGATCATCATAAGTGATTTACCTCATTGATCGTGCTTTTTTCTTTTTGATCTTTCTTCCATAGAAATTCTTTATTGTGAATGCAAAAGTAGGAGTACTTGATTTAGTTTGATAAAGAGTTATATTATATAATATTATTAGTTATATAAAGTTTTGAACATCACCTATAGTTTTGCCAAAAAAGCAATTTCGATCATGTTTGACATTGTTCAGCACTTTTTAGATAGTTTTCGTCAATTACTTCACTTTGCTCTATATTAAGAATAACATTTTATTAAGAATAGTATTTGTCTGGTAGAATTTTGAGAAAGAAAATAAATTATAGATTGTGCAGGTATACAATGAATAAAGTAAACGAATATATATACACAATAGAAAAAAGAGAAATGGCATTTTCTTTACAAAGTATATCGGAAATTAGGATGATGATCACCGACGAGTTCCTCTCCTCCATAGTTTTCCACTTGTTGCTTAATTTGTTCATCATTCATTCGTTTTCGACGACAATTAATTATCATTAATATAAATCGAAGTATAATCACCAATATTATTTGCAATGCAACACAACAGAATGAAATGGTATGACCAATAAAATATCGTGGCTTTTGGTTAGCTCGATATATTTGACCTGCTATAGCTCCACCACTCGTACCAATCGAAACGATCACTGCAGCTGCGGTGGCACGTCGAGTGAGTGAAGCACTAAATATCAAAATTCAAGTAGATAAAAACAAATTATATAATAAGAAAAAAAAGAACAAGACTCACAAATTATTATTGAACCAAGCAATTTTAACACTAACATTGGCATAAGTGCCAATGGCAGCAAAAATAATGCCTACATATAGTGCACCGACTCTCTTTTGGTCGATTAACATAAGCATTAGAAAACCACATAGGGAGAAGAGATTTGTAATAGAACAATGAAGAGAACGTTCCATGAAACTATATATAATACTTTAGTTAACGTTTGAAAAATAATAACAATTGACTCACTAATCGGAACTATAAGAAACAATGAGAATAGCAAAAAATGCTCCCATATATGGTGGAATAGTCATTAATTGTGCTTGAACAGGTGTCCATTCTCCTAAATTATTAATAATCACTGGTAAGGAAAGAGTTATACCTTGTGTAGCAATTGTTCCAGTAATATAAATAATAGCATAAATATAAGTCTTCCAATCAATAAATATGGATAAAACTTGTGACCATGAAAATTTATGTTCTTTTGTTGGACCGGCATCTTTAGCAAGACGATCAATTTCAAGTTGACGTTCTTCATCATTCAAAAATTTTGCTTTTTCTGGTGAATCAGCTAATAAAAACCAACAACACAAAGCTAAAACGAAGGTTGGAGTTCCTTCCAGCTGTGAAAAAAAAAAGACAATTTTATACATATTAGATATATTTTGTTCATGAAAATCGTACAATAAAGATTAATCGCCATTTAGATAATTTTACTGAACTTATTTGACTGATACCATAAGCAAGAACACCCGAAAATGCACCTGAAAGTGCTGAAAATGACCAAAATAAGCCAAGTCGAATAGCTTGCTGCTTTCTTGAATACCATAAAGATGTAAAATAAATAATTCCAGGAAATAAACCAGCTTCAAATGTACCCAATAAAAAGCGACATACAAGAAGGCCAGAAGCATTTTTAACAGCACCCATACATACCGCAACAATACCTCTCAGATTAAAATAATATACATTGTTATATGTAGATTTACGAAAATAAAACAACTACCGAGAAATATATGAATTAGAGATAACCATTTTGATGGTTGCCATCGTCGAAGTACAATGTTTGATGGAACTTCGAAGAAAACATATCCGAAGAAGAAAATAGATAATGCCCTTAATAAATATTAATTATATAAATATATATTTTAGTAAATGAAATTGAATTAATTTACCATTGATACTGATCAGAAGTTAATCGAAGATCATCTTCAAGATCAACTAATTTAGCATTAGAAATATTTGATCGAATCAAATATGAATTTAAATATATAATACTAAAATGCATATATAAATATTTAATTTTATCTTAATAATTATGAAATAAATACATACGAGAGAAGTGGTAAGATATGTAAATCAAGTTTTCGGGTTAAAGATTGTGTTCGTTTGCGAATCTCTTTATCATTATCATCATCATCACATTGATCTATTGATGATTTGTTGTTGTCATTTTCAGAAACCATTGTAAAAAAAAACTACTTATATTTAATATCAAAACTCTTGTATGGCCTGTTAAAACGAGAGAAAAATTTTAAAAATGACTATGTATGGTAATTAGAAAAAATATATCAGTTACCAAAATATTTCTGATGTTAATAGAAAGAGCAAGAAGTACAGACATGACGCTTCATATTCATTATGGTACGTAGTATTCATTGACGTTATTTTTTACAATGAAGCGTAAAATACCATAAAGAGAAACAAGTAGAAAAGGCAATCAAAAAAGCATAACAAAAACATAATTTTTTTTTCATTGGATGACAAAAATAACGTTTAGATTCAACTTGATAGACACAGAATCTGTATTTTAAAATTGAACTAATAACACATACTTCTATTTTGTTATCAAGTTAAATAAATAATCTATGCCTAACTGTCACTATAAAAATAGTTTTAATTATTGAATATCATCATCGCTTTACGAATGATGCAATCTCATTTGAGACAACTGACTAAAATATACTTATTAGTGCACGTGTTTTCTTCTTCTTTCGATCGACTCTATGACTTCAATACTTTTTTTTATTATTCGATGTAGCAATCTATACTATATAGAGTCAATTATTATGTTGAGAGTCATACTTGTAAACATTAATTAAATATCTCTGAAATTAGACAAAACAAAATAAATCGTCTAAAGCAAGTTAAATTCACTATTTCATAAAACAATATGAATGTCATTTGTTGTAAAGGCTTTTATTTTAATTTTAATGTTGACAAAACATAGTTTCTAATATCATTCTATAAAACAAGTGTAACGATATTATTAAATAAATAGATTTTTTTTAAAGTGATGTTAATATTTTCAGCAGAATTTAAATAGCCAGTGATTTCATTTTATATCAATACTTCTGGTATTGTATATTTTTCTTCTGTCATATCGCATACGTGTTCAAACATTCATTATCTTATCATGTTTGTATTAAAAATATATCAACAATGACAGAAAAGTATTTTTATTGATACAGAAGAAAAATTATAAAACTTTTTATTTTGTCCATTGATTCATCCAGTCAAGAACTTCTTGATACCAAATTATTGAATTAAATGGATTGAGTACCCAATGATTTTCAGTTGGAAAATAAAGTAATCTACTTGGAATACCACGTCGTTGTAATGCTGTAAATGTACTAATACCTTGAGTATTTGGTACACGATAATCATAACCTCCATGAATAACTAACATTGGTTGAGTCCAATTAGCAACATAATTAATTGGATTAAATATTTCAAATGCTTGAGGATTATTATATTGAGTAAATCCACCAGCATCATATTCAATAAACCATAATTCATCTGTTGAATAAGCCATTTGTCTCATATCAAATATTCCATGATGATTAACAAATGCTTTAAAACGTTGATTCATTTGTGTATGTCCAGCTATCCAATTAATCATATAACCTCCATAACTAGCACCTAATGCAATAGCTCGATTTCCATCAATATAATTATATTGATTTAAAGCAGCATTTAATCCTAATTGTAAATCTTCATAAGGTAATGTTCCATATTGTTGTTTAACACTATTAGTAAAATTTTGTCCATATGAATCAGATCCATGAAAATTAATTGCAATAACAGCATAACCTTGTGATGAAAATGCTTGAAAATTCCATCGATAACTCCATGAATTATACCAACTATTTTGTGGACCACCATGAATAAGAAAAGCAAGTGGAGCTTTTTGATTTGTTCCGTTTATAGGTGGAATATGCCATGCCCATACTGTTTCATTATTTGCACCAATAAATGAAAATTTTTCAAATGAAGAACTCATTCGAATTTTGGATAATAAATTTTTATTATGATTTGTTATCGATTGAATTGATGTTGATGATAAATATAAATAAATATTAGATGGTTGAAGAATATTTTCATAGGTAAATAAAAAAATATTATTATCTATTGGATGAATATTAATATTACTTGATGTACCATTATTCAAAAGTTTAATAATAGATGGATTAGAAAATCCTAAATTAGATACTTTATAAATAACCTCATTTGCTTCTTCACCCAATTCAAGATAAAGTGATTGACCATCATTTGACCATGTTATAACTTGAATACTACGATCCCAATTATTAAGAAGTGTTATTTTAGAATTAGAACCTATAGAGAAAAAAAAATTTAACAAAAATTGATTAAATGAATAATTAATTTACCATTAATTAAATTAATTTTAAATTGGTCAGCTTCATAAGTAGGTATTGATTGTGATCGATAAATTAAAATTTGATCATCAATTGGTGAATAACTTGGATCTGTATCTGCACCTAAGTTTTCACATGTTATACATACACTAGTTAAATTTGATAAAGTTAAATCAACAGTATATATGTCTAAATTAGCTGTCCAAGCCACTTCACTTGTTTCATCATGTTGTCTTGTATAAGCAAATAAATTTCCTGTTGAACTAAATGACCATTGAGTTTTTCCATCACCAAAAGGTTTTGTTGGTGAATCACTATCAATATTGAAAAGAATATCTTTTGGTATAGATGAAAAATAATATATTCCTTTAGAATTTCTTGCAATTGAAACAATAAATGGATGATTACGTCGACCAAGCATATATTCATCCCAATGTCGAATAAATAATTTATTAAATTTATAAACTAAACTTCCACTAGATTGTTTAGATTTTTCTTGATTAAATGTTTCTTCAATAGATAAATTTACATAAACTTGACAACTAAATGCAAGACGTGTACTTTGACGATTAACTAATAAATTATCAATATTTAATGGATAAAATGTTATTTGAATTGGTTCAATAAAATCATTTATATCTTTTATTTCATCGGGTAAAGTTAATTGAAATAATTGTGTAAGACTAGATGATGCTCGATTCGAAAGAAAAAGTATTATTTTATTATCAATCCAATAAAACTATAATAAAAACACTTTAAAAAAAATTAAAATTCAATTATCTTATTAAATTTACTTGCTGATCATGGATACCCCATATTGGTCGAGTTAATTGAATTGTTTTATTTGTTTCTAAATCAACCCAATGTAATGTTGTTGATGATCCATTTAAATCAGGCATATGATATTGTTTTCTTAAATAAATAACACTTTTTCCATGTATTGGATGAAAACACGGTGAAGAAAGACGATCCAAACGAAGATTATGTGTTTGACTAAAATTATATTTCATTGTTAATTTATCATAATAATCACTATTTGATTGATAATCATTAGCATTCCATATTGAAGATTCTGATGAACTCGAACGATCTTTTGATTTACTTGAAATAACAATGACACAAGGAATAAGTACAATAATAGCACCTAATAAGAAGGATACAACTGGAATAATATACTAAATAAATAGGTAATAGGAAAATAAGAAAGAAAAATGAAGAAATTTCATACAGTTTTAGATTTTGATTTAATCGTAGTATCCATCAAATATAGATTTCCACTTTTTCTGAAGATAAACAGTCCTAATAATAATAGAAGCTAAAAGGAGAGCAAGATAAAAAGTATTCTGTTATAAGTTCGAATAATCACACTGGTTCGAGCATAATCGAGTATAAATAGTAAAATTAGGATAGAAAAAATAAAATAAAATGATACATATGAATGAATGAAGACAACATATGAAGAAAATTATAATCAAATATTGTCAGGTATATCATTAAGTTAATTGTGTATGACGCAGTTTACAATCATCGATTAGTATATTTCGTCGTTGAATTACTTTATATTTTATGAACGTAGTTGATATCGTACATATGGGTCTATTGATATTAATAATATTTGATTATAGTTGTAGACGAAAATAATATCATGCATAATCAGAAAAGAACTATATAATAAATTCAGTTGGTTATTATCAAAGGCTATCCGAACTAACAATGGAAAAGAAATTCATTGATAAATCTATTTCTATTTATAATAGCGTTCGTGGTTTTTGTTATTGATATTAATATTGTGTCTGGTATTGTCATTCATGATAATGATAACACAATCGATTACTTTTATTGTTGTGTCTGTTGAAATCTACTGAATTAACGATTGCAGAAACCATTATTTTCTAACGAGACTCTTAAGATGAAAATATTTCTTTTTTTTTTCTACTTTTCAGCAGTTAGCTCCTTAATTGAAAAATGAAAAGCAACGTTTTAAAGAGAAATCTTATTCAATCGAAAGAGGCTAGGCAATCACGATATAAAGCAGTATATAATTATAATAGATTGATAATTTCTGTATGATTGTAAAAGAATCCCTTGCATTGCTCTCGTCATGAAATTCATCGAAATATTATTTTACTATTCAATTTTTGCTCACAATATAAATATTTAGCTAGATAATAGTAAAAAAATGAAATTGAAATTTATATAATTGTAGTCAAAATTTATTATATTATTAGTAAGTGAATCTAAACTTTTGAATTCGAATTGTATCACTGAATATTTTTGTTTATAAATCAAGTAAAAAAAAAAAACGGATTTTAATATGCATTTTAAGTATATTCTTATTGATAGATTAAATGCCTCAAAACATGCAACATATGAATGTAGGCGTTATAGATGTGGAAAAAGAAAATATTTATATGTTTATTTAAAAGTCGAAAAAATAAACGGACTTTTTTTTTCATAAAAGAGTCGATGATTTCTTCTTTTTACATTTTATTTAAAAAAAATACAGTCAGTAACATAAGAAAGTAATCTCATATAATGGCCTCTCAAGAAAATATAACTCACACTGGCTATTCCAATGAATTTGTAAGACAACTTTGTTTTCTATGACTATCTTAAGTCAATCATTCTATCATATTAAAATAGGGTAAACCAATCGGTAATGATGTCGACAAATGGTTTGAACATGGTGTAAAAACTGTAGGACCGTAAGTTAACATGAAATCAATAATTAATTTGTATAGCATAGTTTCTTTTAAGAGCAGCCGACAGTGAATTTTGTACCAGGACACAAACACTTTATATAATAC